GGAGTGATACGAATGTCAAGCAATGGATCAATCTGTTTGACGGCTCAGTCAGGCAGAACACAATAAGTGGAATCAAGAGATGATATTGATGAAAAGTTCTTAGCAAACAATTCAGATTTGTTTTAAGACAAGGTGACAAAGCCATACAAAAGAGGTCGAATTACAGATTTTCCCTTATTTGATACTGTTAAAGATTCTCCAGAAGTCACGAGCGCCTAATTTTTGGGATGAAATACAAGATTTCAAAATCTAAGAATAGTGGGTTTTGGCGTTTAACAAAATCTTTTTAGAATGGTTTCTAGCAGTAATAAACAGACGTCTGTTTTTTGGAGAATTGTTTCGCTGAAAGATATAGAAGTAACGGTTATAATTGGAAATCGCAGTAACACAATGAGAGGAAAACCATGGAGAAGAGTGAGGCTTGACCTGTAATTGCCGAGAAAGAATAAAAGATTCCATGCCAACCTGATTCCAAAAAGTTAGAGGGATTCAGACAATGAAGAAGAATTAGATAATAGTTTTAGATAAAACCGTGATCAGAAGCACCTAAGGATGAATGTGGAGAAACTGAGCAATAAGAAGGATCAGAAACAAGTCGAGTAGGGAAGATAGCTGATTCGGATTGTCTGGAAAATGATTTGGAAAGTTGACTTTTTAAGTTAGAGATTGAGAAGGGCAAAAGTTTTGGGCTTTAACGCCTGCAGACTCACTGACACTAGAGCCAAGCCATTCAGTGTGATGAGCATTAAATTCACCAACAACAGTAATGTTGGCTAATTAATAAAGAGAGAGGGCTAGGTCAATTTGATCAGAAATAACATCAAAAAAAGTGCAGTCTTGAGATGAAGGAGAGCAATATAGAACTAAAAGAAATGTGTTAGAGTAAAGTGGTGCTAAATAAAAGCACATAAAAGAATAGTCTGTGGGTTCAAACCTAGTTTCCCGAAAAATGGGTGAGTTCTTACAAATTTAAATGCCCAGGCCAACCACCTGACTATAAGAGTCTTTATTAATCAAAGGTAAACATCAACACTAAGATCACAAAATGAGATAGCTGAACTCAAATTAGTCTCAGATAGAGCAGGTAGGTCTGGTGAACTTTGCAAGAGATAAGACTCAACACAAGACAAGTTATTTCAAAGACCACGAATATTAATGAATGATAAATTTAGAGAACTTGGTGATGACGATGGTTTTTTTTGTTTCGTAGTTTTTAGTACTTTATTCGTTTTTAAATTTTTCTAAAGAACTTGACTCAAACCATAGACAGTACTCAGTATACTGTTTAATAGCCCAAGCAATTGCCTCATTACTGTTAATAAACTCTAAGCCGTAACAGAAGACTCAAAACGTGGCCTCTACAATGCATACCTAAAGTTTGCATTGTTCGGGAAACCAGACTACCAGCCAGCCTCAGAACCATAAACCTGAATTTTAGAGCTGTACCCTCATTAGGAAATAGAAGAATGAGTTGTCTTGTCATAAAAACAAGCAAAACCCATGCATCGACACAAGCAAAACCCATGCATCGAGTCAAGAGACACAAGCAAAACCCATGCATCGAGACAAGAGACACAAGCAAAACCCATGCATCGAGTCAAGACAATGCAGCATCAACATCCTAAACTGGAAACAATTTATTGAAAATACATCTGCGCCAGCCTAATTGATAAAGAAGGAGTACGAGGCTGGTTAACAGATAGAATCTGTTTACCCTTGAGTCTTTGCCTAGGAGGCCATCTGTAAAAACAGTAGCCGGATGCATTTAACATCTGCCCATGATGAGTATTTTATTCAAGACACCATCTCTAGCCTTTACTCAACCAAGAACTTCAAGGCTGGAGGTGTTTTTTCTGTCGGAGTTGACTTCTCTTAGCCTTTGTCTAAAAAAGCGTATCCTACTAGACAGTAGGACATGAAGCAGATTGTACTGGGTTACATGTTACCAGTAACAGAATAACGTGACCTGACAATTGAATCATTATAGATTTTGGAGATATCACTAAAAAGATAATACTCCTTAAAACAAATTCTATAAGAAAAGTCACTAAACACTTCAGGTCTGTATTTGTTATGCATGAAAGCATCAACTTAACTCTTATTCTTAAATAAATTAAACAATGTTTTCATACTGAAACGTATTAAAATTGGTCATACACAAAATTGGTAATTCCACAATGTGACTCGAATTGTGGCATATAATGAATAGCTTCAGGTTATTAATGATTCACCATTAACGTATGTCCTGCATAAAATGAATCAATGCAATGACGTGTTGAGAAAAAATCTTGGGAAAAAAGAGGAACTTTGCATTTTCTTAATTTGTACTCCATATTCTGTGAAACTTTGTCAACAATTACACAATCAACACCAACTAATAACAAACTGCTATTAAGTTCTTTTTTAAAATAATTTAATAATTATCCTGCCATATTGTTAATAGACTGGTCGATTATAAGAATGATACCATAAGATATACTGCTATTAGCACAAAGTTGAGTGACTACTGATGCTACTTGAACTTTAACATTCATTGAAAAATCCGACAAGTTTACAGACGAGTCCGAATTAAGTGTCTTTGTAGAAATATCTTATAAATGATTCGTGCAAGGTTCAGAGCTGTCTATATACACAAATTTTCTACTCGAGTTTTGTCTGTAAATAAAATTGTTTCAGGATAGATGTCAGTATTTTTTAGGTGATAAAAATTCAAATGACGAACGAAATTAAAAAATACCAATTTATTGTCTTGACGACAATAAATTGGTATACTCAATTGGCCGTAGTCTTTATGTTGCTGCAAATGAAACCTTAACTGAACTACAGTTTTAAAACTTGTATTACAAGATAACATTAATTCTTAAACTACCTACTCCAAACTATTGCTTAAATTTATCAAAAAAAAATGAACTCACTAATATAGATTTGATAATTTGATTTATGCTTCTCAATGTGGGATTATTTTTGTGTGGTACGTTTTTGTGTGCAAAATTTAATTCATTAAAAATTTGTAGTTTTCTAGAAAGTTACGAAAATTACTGAAAATATAAGCTAAAAAAGGAAAGGAAAGCAAAAAAACTGCAACCTTTAAATTGAAATTAGATAGTCTGTTCGATATATTACTTACAGACACTTACTTATTGTTAAAACGCTCTGGTAACGGCGAGTTGCGAATTGACTGAGAATTCATAAAAAACCCAACGAAACAAAAGACAACGATAGCAAACGAAAGGTTTCTCAGGTAGGCTCTATAGCTAGAATAGACAAAATGCTTGCTAAAGACAAAAAAAAAAGATTTGTTTTTCAATAAGAAACCTCAAATAGAACCTCAAAAACCGAAAATAAATTTTTACTTTACAAATGATAATAAAAACAATGAGGGCACCAAACTTTCTTCAAATGTTACGGAAGAAGACGAAGAAGATGAAATTTTCAGTAAAAGAGAAAAAAACCATTGCAAATCTGTAATAACGGTGAAAATTTTAAAAAAATAATTATTAAAAGAAATGTGTACAGTTGTTCAACGTTGCAAAAAAATCTGTATGCAATCTGTATTATGCCAACAATATTGCAGAGCGAGGTATTTTGCTTATAAGGAGACATTTTGCTGAGCGAGTTATCAAATTTGTACAAAGACAAATGTTTTAATCCAGTAGAAAAAGAACAAATTGCTCAGGTTGTGGAAAAGCATCAAAAAAGCTTTAAAAGAGCATGTTACCCAAGAAATCAATTGTAACAAATTTTCAACAAACAAAAAAACAACTTTTTCAGTAACTTGATGAATGGTATATTTATTAATATTTTAATAAATCTTTTGTGTAATATGTGCAAATAGTGGTAAATTAATCAAGTTTCGTATAATTATTTCTTAATCATTATTAATTAAATTGTGTGAACCCCACTAAGAAATAATAAGAATTAGTGGATAAAAACGTTGCGCAATATTTACGCATACTGTTATTCTAACTTCCATTATTTTGCGAGGGATCTAAAAATTGTCCTAAATTCAAAATCTTTGATGTTTAACGTTTTTAGATCAAATTTTATCATCGGTAAAAATCCCGTTTAAAATTTCAAGAACCGTTCAAAATAATAATGCAACTTAAAAAAAAAAAAAAAACTCTTTATACGGAATCAAGTTATTGTTATTAAATATAAGGAAAATGTTTGTACATATACGACAAACTGAAAATGAATCTTTTTTTCGTTGCATGAATCGATCTTTTTACGTGAAAATGTTGCAACCCAAAACTTTTTTTATAACAACATTACGAAAATCATTAATGGCATATCGTTTACTTTATAAAATTATGGCATATATATCATAAAATTTAAAGTACATAAGTATGCAAAAACACATAGGAACACCTTCTCATTTTCTTACACACACAAACACTCATACAATTGCGCAATGGAGAACAATATTTGTGATACTGAATTTTTCTTAACTGTCCTCAATTTTGGCCACTCTAAAAATTTACTGACTGCAGAAATCGGGTTTCAATAATTTGTCTTTGGAAAGAAAAAAAAAGTTTTTTCTTTCCAAAGCTTTTTTATTTTAATTTTTTTATACTTTAGCTCATTATACCAGCTATTATTTTAAAAGCAGAACTTTTTTTATTACCGCCAACAGGTTGTGATATAGTATTTTATAAGCATTGCCATTTTATAACATATACATCTTTCAACTTTTTCAACATTATTAAATATTCTTTAAAAAGTATTTATTATTTCTTTTTTTAAATAATTACCTTGTAATTAAAAGTAGACGTATCCATATTGAAAAATTAAATAGTAAAATTGTTTAATTATTTTAATTAATAATAGATAAACTATTAATAAAAAAGGACAGTTTTAGAAAAACGTATCATTCATGTGACTCAGTATATAAATGATTCAAATGAGGATGAATGGAATACGTTGATGAATAAAAAATGATGAATAATAAGCGTTGAAACAAATTTGATTATTTATTAGAAATTTTAGTAAAGTGTTTTGTTTTTCAAACCGTTCAAATTTCCTATTATTGGCTTATTTTAAAAATGACATATTTTTTGAACGACGATGGTTTGATAGAAAAAAAACAAATCTCAGAGTATACGGATTATAACGAAGATATTGAAACAGGTTATGTTACAGATTCTTCATTTGGTTCACGCTTAGGTGAATTTTATTTTTAATTTTTAAAATAATTTATTTTTGACGCATGTTTTATGGGTATTTTAATCAACTTTACGAATTTAAATGCAGGTACAAAATCTAGAACAAAACAAGTTCCAGAACGCCATCTTGTTAATCGCAAAAAAACCAAATCAGAGCGGGACAAACGAAGATCAAGTCGATTGTCAACTCTTGACGCGATAGAATCACCTAGTGAAAAAAGTAGTTTGGAAAAAACTCCACTCAGGTATCGAAAGAGGTCTAACAACAAACGGTTGGATGAAGATATTAAAGTTTATAAACTTGAAAGAAGCCAAAAGAAGATTGACAACCATTTTGAAAAAATTTCCAAAGAAAATTTTAAAGAAGCCAAAATAAAGTCTCACGCAAATGTTAAAAAACATTCATTGTCAACGGCAACTATAAAAATGAACAATAAAGATATATTTTGTGGAACATGGAACCCAAAAGAACGAGCCGTACTAGACCAAATCATTAAAAATGTTGAATGTAATAAATCTAATAAAAAAACAATCAAAACATTTTTAAGACGAGATCAAAAAATGAAAAAAGATATTAAAAAAATTGTAAATGAAGGTGATGAAAAAACTGAAGAAGAAAAAAAGAAAAAATCTTTGTTTTCTGGACTACTAAGTCTAAAAGAACGTGTTTGGAAAACAGAAGAAAAAAGTAACTTTTCATTATTTCAAGAAAGTTCTATTCAAGATGTGTATGCTAGACTTAAAAAAGGTTTACTCTACAGATTTTCTCGCAAAAAAGAAATTGATGTACCAAGACGTCGTGCACAGTCAACAAACGAATATTCAACTATTCAAACACAAATGATGCGTAATAAAAACCGTTTTGGTTCAAGTAGTTCTCTAAAAAATATTTTTCAAAAAACGAAGTCAGTTGACAATCTTCAAGGTGCATTTGAATACTTTGCGAATCAAAATCAAGTATTTCGAAGAACCACTAGCGCAGCCAATATGGACAAAATGTCTCCATTTTCAACTCCCGTGAATGATCGCAAATTATCCAAAAGTAATGAAAACCACACGTTTGAACCTGCCCAAAAAGATGGTTCTTTAGAAGAAAATTTTATAGAGGTAAATCCCACTATAATTCATCATAATGTTGCAAATCATAGAAGTTTGAGGCTGAGTAATTCAATAGGTCAATATGACTCTGCTTACGAAGAGTCTCTTTCATCACGCGATTATCAAAGTGACAGACCGGTTTCTTCGAATCAGAGGTATTCTAAAATAACAAATAATAGCAAATTCTCTAGGACTACTTACTCCACATATGAAAATCGCATATATATTCCACCGGCCTCTATACATAATAATAGCAACAATGTTTATAAGCAACCTTCGTCGCCGTTTATTTCGCCAATTGTTTCTAAAAAGTTTAAAAACACATCTCCCCATTTAAGTCCTCTTAACAATCGTAATAATAATTTTCAAAATGATTCATATACTAATCAAATTGTTGTAAACAAAATTTCATCGATAGAAAATCTTGTTTACCTAAACGGAAACAATAATGTATTGCGAGAAAGACTGCTAACAGATAATATTAGCTTAACCCAAAAACAAGATTGCGTTGAATCAAAACAGTTTGATGCCCCGTACTATGACAAATATTTAATGCAACCATCCTACAAACTAAGCACTCTTTTATAAATTAAACATCATTTTATTAATAAAGCACCTTTTTATTAGTTAATAGAGTTTCCTGAAGCATTTATAAGCTTAGACTATTTGTAACCTAGTTGTAATATAGTGGTGTTTTAAATATAAAAAAAATATTCTTTTGTTTCAGTTTGTAATCTTTTGTAATCTTGTTTTGTAATCGTAGTTTTAGTATTAGCATTAAAAAATTTTTAAATGCGGAAGTAGGAGGAGAAGATATAAAATGTTGCATTTTTTTTTTTAAATTCTTTAGGCTTTACTAGAAAATACAATTTTTGACTAAAAAACATACTTAAAGAACAAAAAAAGTTTATAATTTGGAAACGAAATTATAATTTATTAGTTAAACTATTTTATACTTAAAATAAATAAATATTTTTTGTACAAAAATTGGATGAAATTTGCAAATAACTTGGAAAAAATGACAGAAATAAAATATCAATAAAAAATAATAATCTTTGTTATAAATAGTAGTTCTAAACAAAATATTAATTTATTTAGTAAACACTTTTTTTTTTTTATAATTTCTATAGAATTTAATAATTAACTTAAATTATTTTATAATTTTCCTTTTTTTTCTGAATTCACAATCATATATCTTTAGAAATCATAACGACTTTGGAGGAATTAAAATGTCTATTTGTTTATTGGCTTTAATAATATATAAAATAACTTTTCAATTTTAAACATAAAGCGTTTTTTTTTATATACTATCATAAATAAAATCGAGCATCAATGATAGATTTCAAATTTCCATAAAAAATATTTCGGCGTTCAGAAGATTTTCAGAAGTTCAGAAGATTTTCAGAAGTTCAGAAGATTTTCAGAAGTTCAGAAGATTTTCAGAAGTTCAGAAGATTTTAGAAACACGAGTTAAAGCTTTAAAAAATTAAAAAAGAAAAGAAAAAAAGTTCAGTTAAAAACCTACAAAGTTTATTATTGTTGTCTTTTTTTTATTCGCTTTAATAATATTTAAAATAGCTGTAAAAATTTAATTTTTGAAAAATATATTTAATTTTAATAATTAAGACTTAAACTAACTAATATTTGTTATTATTTATGTGTTTGGAATTAAAGATATTGTAAATGAAAATTTTAAACGCCTTAGATTATGCTTACATTTAATTTGTAATGGAGATTGTATTAGAGATCTTGCGTAAAGAACCTGATTTTGCTACGAGTCTAAAATAACATAAAATTTTTTGACATGGATGCAATGGAGGTAGATTAGATACCAGAAATATTTAAAAAATTTAAAAGCCAGTGTCTCATTTTTTTTTTACTGAAAAAATTTATATTGAATAGTTCTTCTTATTATTATCCAGTTTTTGAACTGTTAAAATCATTTTCTGCAGATAAATTTTGATATTTGTTTTTGATATATATTTTATCATCTATTTAGTAAAAGAAAGAATAATTAAAAATGAAACATTTATTAAATCTAAACCAATTTTACACAATGTCACAAACATTTATATTTAACAGTTAATATGTGCTTTGGAGTGAGACTCCGAAAAGATTATGCTGATGTCATAGCAACATATATAAGGAAGGTAAAGGTAGCAATTCTTATATTTAAAGATAACATTTTAATTTTTGTTTATGGAAAGTAATAACTTTTAGTTACAATTTTATTTTAAAAAAATTAAAACTTTTTTAAGACTGCGTTCAATCACAATCGTTCTATGGGATGGAAAGGTCACATAACTAAACATCATCAAATCATTGGAAGTGTTTACAGAACAATTACCTCAGCCTGTTTGTCATAAAATGCTAAATAATTTAAAAAAATTCTCAACTTCAGAGTTTTGATTTACCATTTAGAACCTCTTAGAAAAGCAGTATTGGAATACTTAAGCCATTGAAATTAAATTTTATTTACTTTTGGAATTCATTAGTTTGTGATGTAATAAACAATTTTTAAATATCATTATATTATACCATTTAATATTTCAAAGATTATATTATACTAACATCTGTATATCTACAGATGTTTTTAAATGACATCTGTGTATCTACAGAGGATTTTATATGATATCTGTATATTTACAGATGATTTTATATGATACCTGTATTTCTACAGATAATATTATATGATACGATATTACAGATTGTATTATATAATGAAATAAAATATAAAGACATATTACAGGTTATGTTGTACTAGGACATATAATACTGCAGATTATGTTGCACATATAACATTGCAGATTGTATTATGTTGTATCATACAATGAATCATACATTAAATTGTATTTTTATAGTTCTTCTGAAAGCCAAAGTTTTATTGAAAGCTGATATCAATCAACTTTTGAACGTACAATGAACGTAAAATGAACGTACAATGAACGTAAAATGAACGTACAATGAACGTACAATGATTTTTTGGAACGTTCACCAAATAACTTATTCTTTCATAGTTCTGTCATTATGTTAAACCAAAACCTTTTCGCATTAATTTTTTTGAGGTAATTAGCTTTTAAATCTAAACGACCTAGACTTGACTTGTAAATAGTTTTAAAGTTTGTGTTTTTTATTTTTTAAGAAAATTTATTATTATTTACATTATTTATTTTGCAAATATTTTATTAACATGAAATTTTAACGCGTAAAATATTAACTGTTCTCGACGGCAAGACCTGTTGATGGCCAAGTAAATTTTTATCTTATTTTTTATTTTACATTTGATAACGGATTGCTTTTCTAAAATGTAATAAAAAACAAAAATTTAGAAAAAAAAACAAACTGCAATTAACATAAAATTATTCATGCAAATATAGACATAATCACACGTTAAACATTAATGTAATAATAAATTCCAAAAATTGTTTAATTACGAATGAACAAAAACACACACACACACACACAAAAAAAACCCATTAGAACACAAGTAGAAGACACAGTTAGAGACAAGCAGAAAAATTAGTAAGAAGAAGGAAAATTTAAAAAAAATAAAATTTTTTCAACCAAATTAAATATATTAGTCCATCGTAAATACTTTTGCACGTAAATATTGATTTTTTCAGGAGAGCATTTCTCTCATACAAAGTTTTATGATTTTAGATTTTTTGATTTTTTTTTAGATTTTAGACGAAAGGTTTTACTGGGGAAATTACTTCTTCAAGGAATTTTATTTCTTACACTTTTAGTGAAAGAGATATGTTCTACGATATAAATAAAAAGTTTAATTCCAAGGCATGATATTTTCACCTAAATCAGGGTTCACGCAGCATTGGACAATTTTCATAGGGCACATTTAGATGTACTTTGTGTCTCATTCGGTTATGAAAATTTAAAATTAAATTTGATTATGAAAATTTAAAACTTAAAATTAAAAAGTTTAAAAATTACTTAAACTTTGCTTTAATAAACATGTTTTTTTTAATAATTTTTAATAATTTATGTAAATCGCGAGTCAAAAAATAAATGCGCTCTCGAGACTCAAAGAAATACTTAGTGGTTTTAAAACATCTCATTTGGTGGTTTTAAAACATCTCATTTGGTGGTTTTAAAACATCTCATTTGGTGGTTTTAAAACATCTCATTTTGTGGTTTTAAAACATCTCATTTGGTGGTTTTAAAACATCTCATTTGGTGGTTTTAAAACATCTCATTTGGTGGTTTTAAAACATCCCATTTGGTGGTTTTAAAACATCTTATTTGGTGGTTTTGAAACATCTCATTTGGTGGTTTTAAAACATCTCATTTGGTGGTTTCAAAACATCTCATTTTTCTTAGCATCCATTAGTTTGGTTATTTCATAGCAGAAGAACAAACAAATTAACAAAATACATGAAAGAATTGTATATTAAGACTATTAATCTCCTTTTAAAGAACTTGTAAAAAATAGTTCTAAAACTATACACCCTAAAATTTTACATGTATTGGTTAAAGAAATTTTAAAAATCATTAAATTGGGGCTTGTCCCTAAATTGATGAAAGAAACTTTTTGTTTTCGCAAAACTAGTATAAGAGGGGATGAATTTGCGTATAACAATATACAGACTGTGAAATACGGTCTAGAGTCACTTTCGCATTTGGGATCATCAATTTAGAATTCGGTACCATTAAGTTGTAAATCAGCTTTAACTCTGAAAGAATTTAAATTAAAAATCAAAATTTGGATTTCAAAACACTGTCCCTGCAAATAATTCATGACCTATGTCAAAGACATTGGTCATTGAATTTATAAATTCGCATATTTATTTATTTATTTATTTATTTATTTATTTATTTTTTTTTTTAATTTTACATTTGTTGGTCGTATTACAACTATATATTGCCAAAAAAAATAAAATAAAAATAATGATGATAATAATAAACTTTCACAAATATAAAATAAGGTATCTGAAAGAAGATCAAAGGATCTTGTCGTCAGAACCTTAAATAAGTTCAAACAAGCATTAACAGTATCAAATTTTTACAAATTTCATATATATATAATCCAAATATATATTTTATAATCCAAAGAGAGATCACGCGGATCTACTCACTAATATTTTATATAAACGTATACGTGAAGTAAAGAATATAAAATCAGCAAAATAAGTAAGAATAAACTTTTTACAAATATAAATAAGAAAAGGCAAAGTTATTAATTTATATTATTAATAATAACATAATACGTCTTCTAATGAAAAAATAAGGGTTTTTAATTTACTTTTAAAAAAACGAAAAGTAATGGGTAGTTCGAAATCAAAATTGGGCAAAACAATTTTATTCCAAAGGTGTGGTGCCCGATAGACAATACAAAATTGATTAAAGTTCGTTTGACAGAAAGGTTCATTTAAAAAATCAGTATTTCTCAAATTGTATTTGTTGATGGGTTTCGGAGTAAAAATATCTTTGAAGACAGATTGAGACAAGTCATTTTTCCACATGTATACAAAGCATAAAATTTATGCAAATTTTTAAAAAACTTTTTATTTTAATTTTTAATTTTGCTATTGATTTATTAAGTATTTTCTTAAATTTTTTTATATAATTGTTCGAGTTAACTTCAATTAGCCTAATATAGAGCTGATTAACTTTTATGTGAAAGTATCAACTATAAATAAATTGCAAATAAATAAATTTTAAATAAATAAATTGCTAATAAATAAATAAATTGCAAATAAATAAATAAATTG